TCAGATCTGCTTTGTATACAGTGGAGATCACTTCTAACCTCTCATCAAATCTGTCAGAATCTGTCAGGAGAACTGTTCTAGGACAGTATGTAGAACTGTCATCCTGACACCTTTTAGACAGTTCTAGCTAGAACAGTTCTAACCTAGAACTGATTTGGTCAGTTCTACCTAGAACTGATTTAGACAGTTCTACCTAGAACTGATCCTGACAGTTCTACCTAGAACTGATCCTTACAGTTCTACCTAGAACTGATCCTGACAGTTCTACCCTAGAACAGTTTTATCTAATTAGACAGTTCTACCTAGAACTGACCAAATCTTTGGTTAGTTCTACGACTAGAACAGTTCTACGGCTAGAACAGTTCTACGACTAGAACAGCTCTACGATTAGAACTGATTTGGTCAGTTCTACGGGTAGTATTGATTTAGTCAGTTCTATCCATAAAACAGTTTTAAGAACTCTTTGTCTTAAATATAAATTAGTCAAAAGAATATAATATATATTAAAAATTCTCATCACAGCACTGTTTTAACATTTCTCTAACTGCAGTGACGTCATTTAGAACTGTTCTACGGTTAGAACTGATTTAGTCAGTTCTGCTGACAGTTCTACGGTTAGAACTGATTTGGTCAGTTCTGCTGATAGTTCTACGACTAGAACTGATTTGGACAGTTCTACCTAGAACAGTTTAAAACAGTTCTACCCTAGAACTGATCCTGACAGTTCTACCTAGAACTGATTCTGACAGTTCTACTTAGAACAGTTGTAGGGTAGAACTGTTCTAGGCAGAACTGTTCTAGGACAGTTTAGAACAGTTCTATGACAGATTATTCTGACAGTTCTAATGAGAGGTTAGAAGTGATCTCCACTGTAGCTCTGATGGGTAAAGCCCTTTTCGAATGATTTTTATAGTTTGTTCTGTTCTGTTACACTACTGTCCCATGTTAGGAGTATTGGGCGCCCGCAAACATATTTAATCCGTAATAATAATGTGCCGGTCCCTAGTCAGAAGCCTGTAATTCAGTGGTTGTCGTGTTTTGCTGTTAATCATATTTGTTTTCGTTTATCGATTGTACATAAATTTCTCTTGCTTAAATTCAATACATTTATCTATTCGTGGCCTTTTATAACTTGCTGTGCGATATGGGGTTTTATTCATTTTTTATTGGCCGTACGATGACCTATAGTTGTTATCTTCCACTTCATTTGGTCATCACACCTAATCCTTATACTTTTGTTTCAGTTGTAATTTTTCTTATGATATTTCTGTCATAAGTTATGCTCTCAATGTTCTTCAAATTCGTACTTTTTTTGCCTTTAAAACTATTTTGATTCGAGCGTCACTGATGAGTCTTTTGTAGACAAAACTCTCGTCTGGCGTTCACAATTTTAATCCTGATATCTACGATATCTATGATAAGTTTATCTACAACCACTGGGTCGATGCTACTGCTAGTGAAGGTTTCCTCACCAGCATAGTAGTCAGCAAATCTCTGTTGGAAAGATTAATTATTGATATTGTCATAATTATAAACAAACTGTTTACAAATCTTTGAATGTTTCGAAATACCGAGGAATGCCTACCCCAGGAATGTATTACTTAGCTGTATTTGGCCAAACCTTTCGGAATTTGGGTCAACAATGCTCTTCAACTTTATATGGCCTTTTTAACTTCTAACCATCCAAACCCAGTTGAGTAATGTCTATGTCATGAAAATCGTATAAAATTACCAGATATTTTAATATAAGGAACAGTGGTTTAAAAAGGTTTGCTTGGAATTGAAAACTTCTATCTTATTGAGATTTTATAAGATATTATAATTAGTTCTATACATTGTATTTTGTCAATAACTTATTGCTTTGTTTTAAACTTAATCATCTTACGTGAATGTTTTTTATAGTAATTAGGTGGTCTTTAAGTCAGATGACTATCAATCGACGCCTTTTTGTTTGTTTTTTTTTTCTATTTGCTAGCTGAACTCTTATATCTTAAAGTTTTAGAAGCTTTTAAACTGACGATACCTCCAAATTACATCATACAACATTACACCATACAGCATTACATCATACACCAAATAGTAACATCTCTGACAAATCCATTTAATATATATAATGTCAATATCCGAAGTAATGGCAGGAAAACAAAAAGTTTCATGAGACAGGATTAAACCCTACTTCATACTAGAGAGATGTGTGAATGTGCTAGCTCAAGCGGTAATACTTCGCAGGAAAACATGGCATATCGTTCGATTTTAAAATACTGCATATCTATCGGAATAAACAAAACATTAATTTTAAATTTAAAGTTTTGTCAGCAGTACAATGAACCAGTAAATTTTCGTACATTAGACGAGCAAGGTACCTTAAGGTTTAACACCATCGAGACAGTTGTGATTAATGCAATATTTCTTACAAAATAGAACAGCTTTAATAACTAAAATCAAATAAAACTTGGGTTATCTTTTCTTACAGCAAACATTTAATACAGCAAAACGAAAGTGATCTAGAAGCCATTGTACGATCTCCAACATTAAATTCAATTTTGAGAAAAATGTATATATATAAAATAAATTTTGCTCACAATTTTTATACTGGAAAACCAAGATTACTTTTCACGGTCTATTAACGTGACATGTTTTGGTATCTCTTCAAAAATAAACCAAGTGCAAATATTTTAGTACAAGCAAACACAAGCGACATTTGTACTGGTTGATGGTATTATTGCATGTTTCCGAGCTACTACAAGGAATTTCTTGTGTTCGTATAGATTCAATAATAAACTTGAATAAATAAACAATAAAATTGAGAAAAATAATTTGTTATCGTCTTTGCATTGGTTGCAAGCAAACTCAGTGCTTACGCAATGCATCATTTTAATACGAATTTTGTTCACTGTTAAACCAAGCTCAAGGTATTTTTTTCAGAACTGAACAGTGTATTTAGTCTTAAATTGATCACGAGCAACGAACGGTTATTCTAAATATAAAACAGCGATATTTTGCATCGACAACTTGATAAATATGATTAAAACTACATGACTTTCAAGATTGACGAACAACATATCTATTTATGAGCATTCAATTAAATCAGCTAACGTAAATGTTTTTCAAAGTAATTAGCTGGTCTTTTAAGTCAGCTGATAATTTTCAACTAGCAATACGGAATATGGATGATTTTATCAAGTCAAACAGTCCTTGAATGGTTGAAACTAACCACTGACACCATACACCCATGCACCCATGCACCATTTCACCATACAACATTACATTAGACACCAAGTATGTAATGTCTATATCAAAAGTGTTAGAAACAAAACTGATTTTCTAGGGAAAAAAATCAATGATTTTGATATTTTGATTGTATTTGAATCACATCCTGATAGTCAAATAAGTAATAATGATATTATTCTCGATTCCTTTACGAAATTAATCCGGCGAAAAAAATAACCAGGTACAGGTGGCTGTTTGCTTATCAACTCAAAACACGACATGTCTATTGTAAAAAATATACGAACCTTAAAAACAACTTGGATGAAACTATCTGGGATGTAATACAGTCCAAAGGTCAATCACTTCTAAAGAGTAACACAAATCCCCTTCTTAACTCGAATATTGATTATTGGCCCTTGATTGGAATGACGACGTCATTGTTTTCATATTTTAAGGGATATCTCTAGGTCAAAATATTAAGACGTCTTTGATAACACCCAAAGCAACAAAACATGATTTTCAGAATTGCTAAGAAGGATAATGAATTTGTCTGGAAATATGAAGTTAGAAGGCATAAACAAATGTTGTTTCTTACATCTACATCATTTGAAAGGAGAAAGGAGAAAGATACCGCAGGGATAGTCAAACTCATAAGTCAAAAACAAACTGACAATGCCATGGCAAAACACGAAACACGACCAAAAGGCAAACAACAGTATACAAAACACAAAATAGAAAACTAAAGACTGAGCAACCCCACCAAAAACCAGGGGTGATCTCAGGTGCGCAGATCCTGCTCTGCATGGAGATCCTGGTGGCTAGTTGTTTCATTGGCAATCATATCACATCTCCATTACTTTTATAATGAAGTCTTAAGTATGCAGACTCATATCTTTGAGGTTGGTTTTAATGACTAAGAAACATTCTATAATTTTTAGTTTTTTCTTATGTTGTTCTGTTACACCACTGTCTCATCTTAGACGGAGGGTTGAGCGCTCACAAACATGTTAAACCCTGCCACATTCTGTATGTGCCTGTCCCAAGTCAGGGGCCTGTAGTTCAGTGGTTGTCGTTGGTTCATGTCTGTCATATTTGTTTTTCGTAAATTGTTTTGTTATAAATTAGGCTGTTAGATATCTCAATTTAGATTGTTTCATATTTTTCTTGTTAAGCCTTTTATAGCAGACTACACGGTATGGGTTTTTCTCATTGTTTGAAGGCCGTACGGTTGCATGTAATTGCTTAGATCTTTGAACTTTGGTGGATAGTTGTCTCATCGGCAATCATACCACATCTCCTTATTTTTATGAAAGATTATCAATCAAAATAGTTGTAGCTGTACATGTGTTTACTTGTACATTTTTTCTATGAACTTTTAGTTTTTAAACTGATTATGGTGAAAACTAGTCTAACCCCGTTAATGAATGCTGATGGTCAGACATCCGTGTTTACCAATTTTTATTATAATATCTACAAAGATTGCTGATAAAGAATTGAGACAAGAGGTGTAGTTTACATGTTTAAAACCAACACAAATGAAATCAATCATTAAGTCTATAAATTCAATATCCTGTTGGCTGAGATTTAACATGGAATCATGAAACCTGCTTGACATTTGACATGGAAAATTGGTTAAAAAAAAGTCTTTCACCTTTCGAAAGGATTAATGCACTAATGTACAAAGCTGTTCAGCATTTCTTTGTTGAAAAGGTTATTCATCGGGTGTATGAACCCTCCATTGACACAAACCAAAGTTACTATGCATTTCCATTATATAAATACACAAAAAATAAAGTACAACTGCTTTATTATAAAAAATATAAATCATCATTACATCCAAAATGAGATTTGCAATTAGCAATAACATTGTGTGATTTCAAACACAATTTTGTTTTCAGTTTTTTTTCTATTACTGAAACTAAAATGCAACTATGAAACCATAAGCCATTTTGGAGTTCAGCACTTAAATTATTCATTCAATAGGTGCAACAATTTTTTTTAATTGAGAACAAATATTTTTTTACACTAAATTCCATTATACAATGTATTAGGAAATTACATTTACATTCATTCATAGTTTGAAATTAAAAAAAATATAATCCAATAAATAACAAGGACTCCTATATGTTTGTTTTAATTGGGACACCTCTTAGAAAGAAACAATTGAGAATCAATTATCTGATAAATAGTCCAATTATTTATTACTTATCATTCCCATGATTGATTGATGGGTGCTTAATATTTTGCATCAAATATTATATGCATATTCAAGACTATGTAAATCAGATATGATTTGATCAAACTTTATGATAGGTTGACATGCTAACTCAAAAGGTAAAAGTCAGCAAGTAAACATCATCCTAGTCTGACACAATATTCAGACTTTCACCTTATGCATGGCAGAAAAGCAGCCAATGCAAAGTGTTCGGCTCAATCCTGGTAGAGATTGATCACACAACCTCCCACACTCACAGTGAGCATTCAACAAAGAACCCACAGAGGCAGCTATGCTATTTTTGGTCAAATAATGAACATTCAATGGTATTTTAAAAGTAGTATGATTATACTCTGATTATAAATTATATTTCATCTTTAGTTGAAATAATAATATGGAAAATTAATTTTTATAGTCCTGGGATCGTTGAAATATAGTTTCTGAATATAGAACAGATTCTTTTACAAAAAAAAACCATTAAATATATAAGTATAAGTGCTTTCATTTGAAGGGCATCTATATCAAGAAATTGCAAGTTATATAAAATATGTAAATAAGGAATAAACCAACTATGAAAAGCCTTCAATTATAAAATTATGTTAAAAATCGCACAAGATGTAGACAAACATTTAGTTTTTCTTAAGGAGGTGCAAAATCTACACAATTTTGACTTTTAGTTAATATTATTATAAATTCAAATTTCACTTGTAGTAAATAACAAAAGAAATAAAGATTTTATTTTTTAACTCTGAGATTACAGAGCATTTTGTCAATAAAGTAATAATTGCAGTCTGGTATATGGGAATCACCTTGATGGCCGATTGGTCTAAGTAGTCGAGGTACTGTATCATTAGCCTGTTAATACTGAGGTTGTGAGTTTGAATCATGCATGTGGCAGGTGTGCTAGACTCCATTCTTGGATTGTCAATTTTCCTACCGAGGGTCAGAGGTTCTCTCTCAGCACTCTGGCTTTCTACACCAAAAAAAATTGACCGCCACGAAATAGCACAATAGTGCTGAAAGTGGCATTTAACACCAATCAATCAATCAATCATCAATCATACTTTTTGTTTGCTGCCTTGACTTGTGTCTTTTTACACTATTTATGAGATTTGAAAATCTTTAAACTACTCTCAACTTCATTCATGCATGTGTCACAGCATATTTGTCCCCCTTTTAATCATAAAGGTTAAAAAAATAGCAAAAAAGAAAGTCTAGAACTCCAACCATCTTCTAATATAGAAAGTTATCAGCCTTGTTCTCACCAGACTAAAATAACATATGGATGAAATCTTATACAAACAGAAGAAAAACAAAAAGCTTAGAGTGGGTGGCGCATATTCGCCGTGGACACATTTTCGCCGTTTTTTCTATTTTTTCTGTAAATTTCGTGTACCTTTACCCAATACTTGCCTAAAAAGATGCTAAACGCTGTTTGTAAGACGAACTGTTGATATTCCTCTTTACCCCATTTCCAATGTTATTCGCACATATAAAGAAATACGCTGGTGTTTTTGAACGATTTTGGCAATTATGTAAGATTTATATGGCACGCATGCGCAGTCATAAAGTAAATATCTGTTAGAAAAATCGTATAGGAATGATCTCTCAAGCTAATTCATGTAATTGCAAACAATTGTTTTTATAATATACAGGGATAACGAGGATGGTCATATCATACATTGCGGCGAAAATGTGTCCCCCATGGTACAAGAACAACTTGATTTCCTCTTGAGTTTGTGTTCTTTTTTTAAACATTTGACCAATGTTTTGAAGAGAATTCCTTTATCAAACATTTTTTTCATATAGTAAACTTTCTGAAACCTACATAAAAAGTTTCAAATATTCGAATGTAGGTCGGATGTAGGTGGAAATGAACGAATTTTGTGGCGAATATGCGCCACCCACTCTAGAATAAATCTACAGAATTACAATAATAACATGTAAAAAGACTTTGTTTGTAAATCATAATGTAAAAAATAATGTATACAAAGAATAAATATAAAAAAAAATATACTAACAATAAAAAAAATGGATGGATTTAGTTATCAGCAGGTCTTCAATGATTGAAGAGAAGAGATAAAGCCTCTACAGCTGAAATAAAGAGAACATAACAACATTTAATTCTAAAACACTTGACAAGCTTAATCTTCTGAAACTTATATGTTTTTTTTTAAAGAAAAATCTAACAGAAACAAAGAAATTAAGTCTAACCAGTGCAATCAATATAAATCGTAAAATGGAGGAGGGTGAATGTTGGGTGCAGGTTTACAGAAAATCAACCATCATATCACTGTAATAAGTTCTATAATTCAATCAAGAAAATTTGTACTCGCACTTTGAATCCAACTCAAGAACAGTTGTACAAAAACATAACATTTGAATTCAACTGCTAGGTTAGGTAAGCTTGACAAAATTGAGAAACACAATTTTTCCTTTAACTGTACTGTCAAACATTTTAAAATAAACCCATGTTAAACTATAAAATATACTTTAAATATGACACAGAAGAAATATTGATCAACGTCATAAAATTTTGACATTCATTTGCATTGTCATCTGTCTTGCATATACCTTGAACATGGTGAATTTGGGATTTTAAAAACATAAATTGATGGAAATTCTGTATGAGCTTCAAGTCATTTAAGATGATTCTTTGGAAGTATTATGTGTACAAAATACATGCCTTTCTAAACACCATTGATGTAAACAATGCCATGCACACCTATATCAATATTCACAAATGAAGCCAGGCCTGTTTATAAGTTACAGTTCCCAGTCATGTGGACAACATTGTACATGAATTACAAGTTTTGCAAATATATTATTACTCTCAAATACACTCACACACATGCACACAAACGCACATACTTGAATAATTTAACTAATTCGTTTCCCATATACATATCACATTTAGAAATCACAACCTTTCAAAGCACTTTAAAATTTCATGCAATAGATAAAAAGACTACATATTATGAATCATATCATGTCTGAAACCAAAAGAATATTTTCACATGGACTATTTGAAAAGAAGAAACTTATTTTTTTTTTTTTTTTTTATTACTATTTCTCATTCAGATCAACACATATAGCAACATCTTGTGCAATACTGAACGTAAAAAGAAACAACCTTACTGAACTTAAAATAAAGTTACCTGCCAACAAACTGTACATAACCATGTGAGATTATTCATAGAGATACCAGTTGAAACACTGTGATATTGAATAATTGAGGTTAGTAGGTTCAAATTTTGACAAAATATGAAATTCAATTGTAGCTTATGGTGCAAGAAATTTCAAGGGAAATTTTTATTTCTCTTGTTGTCATTTTTTTTCAATAATACTTGTATATAGTCAATTTTGCTGTCTTATCAACATCAAGAAAAGTTCGGGAAAAGCTATGATCTGCCTCCTTCAGTAATGTCAATGGCATTACATATTCTTTTAAAATGTAAGAAAGAAAAGACCAATACAAATTATTCTATGATTCAATAAAGTTTGACCTCCTGTGATTGATAAATAATTAAACAATCTGTCCAAAATATGCAATAAACTTAACAACAATGGCTGCAGCTAAGGTGTAAAGTTACTGTAACAGTTCATCAAGATTGGATTGGTCTCTTTTCCTGTAAAAATAAAAATATATAATGAACTTCACATGACTTTTGTGTAATGTTGAAAACTAAAATTCTTTTTTTCAAAATCAAATCATTAAAGTTGTACATGGTTTTTAAAACATAAGGATCACACTGTACGGACTATAAATTCTTAAAATTGCATGCCTGCATAATCGACTGAAGGAAATCTTAATGATGGATAAGATTAAAGAGGCTACTAATTAAAAGATTTCTCTACAACAGCATGAATGATTATAGATATTCAAACAAAAAAGAGTCTTAGAATTGCTATCTCATTGACATATACCTCCAATCTCCTTAAGCATTTGCATACAAGACTTGGATAATCCTGCTATCTTCTTGCAAAATATAAATTTTAAATTAATATTATTAGCCGTTGCCACCAGATGATCAAAATAAATAAGTCTTGTCTTCAAAACTTTTCTCCTGGCAGAAGAATGTAAAAATTTTGTTTCAAAGTTTCAAAAATAAATAAAATAAACAGTCTTAAGAAATGCACAATAATAAAAGTTTTTTTGCAGAAAAAAAGAGATTAAAAAAATTGAAAATAAACATAAGTTAAAAGTGTGAATATTGGAACTGAACTTGTGTTTAAAATCACAAACAGACAAGTTTATGCAGATGTTAGCAAACATTCACAGCAAATTCCTCCATTTTAAAGTTTGAACAAATAAAATATCTAAAGTAGATCCATAGCATTATCTCCCACCAAAGTAAATAAATAATTCTAATACAATTATTTTGTATATAAAGTTCTGATTGGATGACAATCAGCGTAAAATTATCTATCTACCTGACTGTACCTAAGGGAAGCCAACATTTTGAATTCTGGAATATATTGACATGGAATTTCTCCAATAATAAGCAAAAAACTCACATTTTTAACTACTGTAATCGGGCTTGTATAGTTCGCACTGGTACATAATCCGCACCCCCCTTCTCGCCACGAAATTTCCGTTAAAAAAACTTTTTGTAACTGTTTGAAAACGTCAAATGAAAATCCAGTAATTTCAAATCTTGTGCGGTCATTTGCTGTATTTTCAAGGAAAAACCCGTTTTCCATCATCAAAAAGAAGTTGAAAGTGCTTGTCAATGATTCTAGAACACTTCACGATTGTTAAAATAAGTAAAAATCACACACAAAAAAGTTTAGAAACTTGTGTATGTTCAAACCGAAAGTTTGAGTAGCATGTGTAAAAGAAAATAAAAACGGAGAGAGTATACGGAAAATCTGTACTTAATAGATATCATTAGAATACAACTTTGAAAGTTGAACAGTTCCATCCTTGTGTAAAACAATGTTTAATATTTCTATCCCATTAATGTTTGAAGGATCTAAGGCTAATACAAAACACATGCGTCAGTATGAAACACCAAAATGGAACGAACATTGATTACGTTTTGTAGTTTAAACATTGTCTACTGGTTTACGGTCTAAACTTATCGGTATTAATTTGATATTGAATAAAAATAATATATTAATATGGATTAGGTAAAATTATTAGTTTTGAAAATGATAAGAGCGCCCTCTACAATATCAATAACAAACATGGCGGAACGTAAACTAACCACCTTGCGAAATCGAGTTTTTTCTCTTATTTCTTGCTTATCGTACTCTACAGTCCGCACCCCTGTCTGGCAGGTCCAATTTTTGAGAATAAAACCGCTGACTATACAAGCCTTTATTCGGTAGAAATCTTCTTTTTTTTCAAATTTTATTACATTCTGAGGCGAACAAGAAGCCAGAAAATGCCTTGTGCGTACGTATGACACCTGAAGTATACCTATGAACGTCACCTAGTTTAGGTGCCAAAGAAGATAAAATCATTTCACAGAATTTTTGTTAAATGAAAATTTTACACCGAAATAATGACTAAAATTGAATCATTTGTTTATTTTGCATTAATTAACTGTATTGTATTTGAAGCTTTGCAGATGTCCATCGGTAGTTTTACTGTTGCAAATATCTGTTTACCGTAAACTCAATTTGAGACAGTATAACTACCAATGGACGTCCCCAAAGCTTCAAATACAATACAGCTATCTCTTAAATCTTACTAATATTAAAGGTATTGTAAACAGAATCTACAAATTAAAACAACCAATCACAATATTTCCCAAAGGACAAGTATGACCCAAATAATGCATTTGGTTGCCTGCTTTGAACTTAATACATTTTTACTAAATCCTGATCTTTCATAACTTCCACTGCTATATGATTTGTTGTCCCTGAGAGAAACTGTATGGTCACCTGTAGATATCTCTTAAGTTTTTGATGAAAAGATGAAAATTATACCACATATATTTCTATCTTGAAGTCACAATAATAACTTGTAATATTTTTTTCTCATGTTTACCAAAAAGAACCACATATTTTGACAGTATAAAAAGTGATTATTAAAACAAATTGTTTAAATCAATCAAATCACTCAGTGTATAAAATACCTACTCTGATTCGGACCTGAAAATTCACACAATTTTAAAACCATTAATAAATAAAAAGTAAATGGGAAACATGCTATTTCAATCACACCATGCTTTTATATACAGCATTGCATTCGGAATTGAAAGCTATATAGTTTACTTAAACAAATTGCCCAGAATATAAAATAAAGGCTTCTTAGCTAGACTATTATTTGTGAATTTTGAGGTGAATAAAATATTATTTTCTATGACCTTATCAAGGCAACTTGTATTCTATCAATATATTGCTATATAAATACTATTAAATGTGTATCTGTATATGTATGCATTTGTATGTGTAATGTATATACATAAATATATGTGTGTGTGAATAACTCACTCATAAACATGAAAATGCTGATTAGGTTTGCATACATTTTTAGCATAACAATCTGTTCTACTTCATAAAAGCATATGTTTTAACATTCTAGACTAAGCAATAAAATGTAAGTCATATATATCTGCTCACTAAGTTTACCTTCAAGCAAAACATTTTTTTTTCAATATCTGTAATCAAAACCAAACATTGTGATGTAATACTGAAAATCTTGCTAAACTGTCTCTCAAAAAAATTACAAATCAAGACTATTTTCTTTCTTGAAAAAAACGAAAAATTCAGCAATTTTTTCATTTGTAAAGGGGCATAACTCTAGAGTGGTAAACGTGACACCACCAAAATTCAGACTTGATCTGTGTTTTATGGTAATAAGCATTGTGTATAAGTTTCATAACATTTGGATGAGGCAAACTTAAGTTAGAGAACGGAAACGAAAAAGTTCAGTAATTTTTCCATTTGTAAAGGGTCATAACTCTAGAACGGTAAAAGTGACGCCACCAAAATTCAAATTTGATCTGTGTTTTGTGGTAATAAGCATTGTGTATAAGTTTCATAACATTTGGTTGAGGCATACTTAAGTTAGAGAATGGAAACAAATTTTGGGACGTACAGACGGAGAGAGATACAGACGGACAAGGGTAAAACTTAATGCCCCCTCCGCTACGGTGGGGGGCATAAAACAAGAGGCTCTCAAGAGCCTGAATCGCTCACCTGTTATTTTTTTTGCTTAAATCTTTCATCAATGATTATTTTTGCTTTTTACCCATATGTTCCATTTTAGCCATAGTGTCTATGTTTCTTGACGTACAAGGAAATGAAATACAAAATTTATACTAGATTCATTTGAGAAGATTTTTAAAGTTAAAAAACATAAAACAACTTGTGTAAAATTGTCCTTAAAGGGCAATAACTCCTTAAGGGGTCAATTGACAATTTTGGTCATATAAAACTTTTTTGTAGATCTTACTTTGCTGAACATTTTTGCTGTTTACAGTTTATCTTTATCTTCAATAATATTCAAGATAATAACCAAAAACTGCAAAATTTCCTTAAAACAACCAATTTAGTGGCAGCAACCCAAGAACAGGTTGTTCGGTGTGTCTGAAAATTTCAGGGCTGATAGATCTTGACCTTTTGAACATTTTCACCCCATGTCAAATTTGCTCTAAATGCTTTAGTTTCTGAGATATAAGCCAAAAACTGCATTTCACCCCTATGTTCTATTTTTAGCCATGGCTGCCATGTTTGTTGATGGATCAAAATTTCGGATACAATTCATAAACAAGATTCCTAAAGGAACATTCATTCAAAGTTAAGAAGTATTAGGCACAATAGTTTCAGAAGAGAAGATTTTTAAATGTTAGCAAACTTGATGAACACATTGCGTAAAATTGTCTTTAAAGGGCAATAACTCCTTAAGGGGTCAATTGACAAATTTGGTCATTTAACTTTTCTGTAGATCTTACTTTGCTGAACATTATTGCTGTTTACAGTTTATATCTATCTATAATAATATTCAAGATAATAACAAAAAACTGCAAAATTTTGTTAAAACTACCAATTCGGTGGCAGCAACCCAACAATGGGTTGTTCGATTTGTCTGAAAATTTCAGGGCTGATAGATCTTGACCAATTGAACAATTTTACCCCATGTCAGATTTGCTCTTAAAGCTTTAGTTTTTGAGATATAAGCCAAAAACTGCATTTGACCCCTATGTTCTATTTTTAGCCATGGCGGCCATGTTTGTCGATGGATTAAAACTTCGTATACAATTTATAAACTAGATACCCTAAGGAACATTTAGTTAAAGTTTGAAAGTATTTGGCCCAGTAGTTTCAGAGGAGAAGATTTTTTAAATAGTTTACGACGACAGACGACGGACGACGAAGGGCCCCATGTGAGCTAAAAACTGAACACAAAATGATTAATTTTCTGAATAATCCCAAGTGCCAACTTCAGATAAGTCTTGTTGTTTCGTTTCCTACATCCATGTTGCAGTAACTTTAAGAAAAATGTGCATGAAGCTTCTACCAGATTTTCTTTGTATCCATAAGTTAAAATATCTACTACTGTGCTTTTTGTCTAAACAACGAAGTGCATAAAGATAAATTGTATTTATTCCCTTTTAGCACTTTTAATACCAAAACACCAATACCCATAAAGATTTTGTATTCCAGCTATTCTTACTTACTTTTTGGAACTTTTAGGTCTAGCAGATTTTGGTTTACTAGATTTAGGTCTTCCAGATTTGCCTGCTTTTGGTTTCATGGCTTCAGCTGCCCCTTCAGCAGTATAAGCTAGGTATACATTAGACAAGTCTGGCTCTTTTAACTGTTGAAGAAAATATCAGAAATCAACACATTTCTGAATGTTTAAAATAATGAAGCAACTTGTAATTAGGTGCCTTGAGATTAATAAAAATAAACTAACATACTTTGTTATCTTACGATTAAAGAAAATTTTGCTTCCTCAATTTTGCGAATATAGTATAAATTCTAATAAGAAGCCTGTATTAATTTTTTTAGTATTCAATTAGTGTAATTGACTAATGTCTATAAAAAATTTCGAAGAGTTATATCTTAACTAGTCATGTGACTGAACTCACAAAGTATACCCTGACCCACAATACCATATTTAAGTAAAATAGTTAATATTTTCTACAAACAAACAATGTTAACATATTAGCCACCTTTATGCAAATCGTCAGGTTGTGTTCTACAACTAGTTGTACATAAATAAGGAGATATGTGTAAAATTTTCTTAATATTACAAGTAGCAAGCAAACACTGTAGTGCGTTGAGTGAAAAGCACTTTACTCTCAAATTTCAACAACTCTCCCTGTCAGATTCAAAAAGAAAAGTAACTTCTACCTATGATTCAGAAAAAGTGCAAGCCCTTATATATATGTAGTACACACCTCATTTTTATCCTGATCTTTTTGTTGTGTTTTCATCATGTTGTTTCCCGTGTATGCAACACATTTAAGCTGCCATTCTCCGATGTCATCATTCCAATGGACATGTTGTTCTATCATTTCCTAAGAGAGAAATAATGCTGATTTATTGTGAACATAATTTTTTACAAGTCTAATATAAGCATACTATCAAACTTTAAATTACTAAATTGTCAAGCTGTATACCATTGTCCATGTCCATGTCCTTAGTCTAACTCCTTTTGTTTTTGAAGGGCAATCCTAAAGAATTTATTTTCCTAAAATAGAATATAACTGACCTTTTTTTGTTGTTAACAATACTTATACATGTATAAGTATAAAGTAAATTGTATTGAGGCTATTTAAAATGAAATTTTCAGGTATGCCCAGAATCTGTCATGATGTGTCAAAATGCCAATTTTTTTCTGAGAGTGCACCATATGGCACTAAAAAAGTGGGCTTTAGGAAAATGTGATGTGATTTATCATCAAAGTTTAGCATTGTTCACTCTGATGAAAGAAATTTCCTGAACTAAACATTGTTATATAGGCTAGTAAAATTAGTAATGCCAGGAATGGTATGCCTCTAATTTGATTCTAGAAATTTTGTCAATTTGATGTATGCTCCAACTTTCCAATTTTCTAGGATCCCAGGGGATGTACTAAATGTGGTATTTACAATGTATTTATGTATTTCTTTTGTATTTATAACTATGAAAATGTATTTCTTTATACAGTCTTCTGTTTGTCAAACTTCCAATAACCCTTTTTCTATGACATTCCAGTATCATGTACCTGATATTCTGGAGGTATGAAGTTGTCTATAACAACCATCTGTAATTTCAACTCTCGACTTAGTTGTCGTACATTCTCTAACAAACCTTCCATTTCTCTCTGATGTTCTTGCTGTAAATCTGCAATCTAAAAGTAAAATTGTATGATGAATCTTTTTTTATCCATCTATTCATTAACTGCTACATGAAGAATAAATTTGATGCATTATCATGTGTATTGAACTTGAATTGATTGAATAGCTGACAAAAATAAATTTCAATATTTCAATTTTAAGGAGGTCAGAATTAAAAATATATTTTAATACTCAGAATGAGGTGTTAAGATAGTATTTTTTTTTATCAATGTTGCCTTCCTACCAGATCTACTTACCTCAGATTTTGCTTGCATTAACATGGTCCAAACTTTCTTTAACTTTTTTGTTTTTCCAGCTTTTTCTTCTTGTAAATTGGAGTATTTTTCTTCTATGTCTAATCTTTCTTGCTAAAAGACAAATAATTTTCTTTAATATGGCAAACATTTGAGGTGGCATGTGTACCACAATTATCAGGTAAAGTCTGGCTATATGAAGATTAAGTACAGTCGAAACCTCCATTAGAGTCCAAGTCTAATGGACCGTTAATAAAATGCTTATTTACAGCAAACAAAATTAATGTTCTGAATGTCTAATTGATTTTATAAGTTATGGTGTGAATCTATACTGTCTGACTGACTTCATCACCAAACCATTCATATACATCTTTAATTATATCAATTAATAAAATGCTCCGCAGGGCGCAGCTTGATACGACCGCAGAGGTCGAACCCTGAACAGTTGGGGGAAGTATGGACACAACATTCAAGCTTGATACAGCTTTGGATTTGGATTGTGATTAAATATTTGACACAGCATAGGTTTCTAACACAGATTGAATGTGGTCTAAGAACTTAAAAATTTTAAATTGGACATTCACCTATTATGGTCCAATATCCAAAATCTAAATACATGGTTAGATTCAGCATATCAAAGAACCCCAAGAATTCAATTTTTGATGAAATCAAACAAAGTTTAATTTCGGACCCTTTTGACCTCAATGTGGACAAAGTTGATAACGGGGCCCAAAAATCAAAAATCTAAATACATGGTTAGATTCAGCATATCAAAGAACCCCATATATTCAATTTTTGTTGAAATCAAACAAAGTTTAATTTTGGACCCCGATTTGGACCAACTTGAAAACTGGGCCCATAATCAAAAATCTAAATACATGTTTAGATTCAGCATATCAAAGAACCCTAAGAATTCAATTTTTGTTAAAATCAAACTAAGTTTAATTTTGGACCCTTTGGACCTTAATGTAGACCAATTTGAAAACGGAACCAAAAATTAAGAATCTAAATACACGGTTAGATTCGGCATATCAAAGAACCCCAATAATTCAATTTTTGATGAAATCAAACAAAGTTTAATTTTGGACCCTTTTGACCTCAATGTGGACAAAGTTGATAACGGGGCCCAAAAATCAAAAATCTAAATACATGGTTAGATTCAGCATATCAAAGAACCCCATATATTCAATTTTTGTTGAAATCAAACAAAGTTTAATTTTGGACCCCGATTTGGACCAACTTGAAAACTGGGCCCATAATCAAAAATCTTAATACATGTTTAGATTCAGCATATCAAAGAACCCTAAGAATTCAATTTTTGTTAAAATCAAACTAAGTTTAATTTTGGACCCTTTGGACCTTAATGTAGACCAATTTGAAAACGGAACCAAAATTTAAGAATCTAAATACACAGTTAGATTCGGCATATCAAAAAGAACCCCAAGAATTCAATTTTTGATGAAATCAAACAAAGTTTAATTTTGGACCCTTTTGACCTCAATGTGGACAAAGTTGATAACGGGGCCCAAAAATCAAAAATCTAAATACATGGTTAGATTCAGCATATCAAAGAACCCCATATATTCAATTTTTGTTGAAATCAAACAAAGTTTACTTTTGGACCCCGATTTGGACCAACTTGAAAACTGGGCCCATAATCAAAAATCTAAATACATGTTTAGATTCAGCATATCAAAGAACCCTAAGAATTCAATTTTTGTTAAAATCAAACTAAGTTTAATTTTGGACCCTTTGGACCTTAATGTAGACCAATTTGAAAACGGAACCAAAAATTAAGAATCTAAATACACGGTTAGATTCGGCATATCAAAGAACCCCAATAATTCAATTTTTGATGAAATCAAACAAAGTTTAATTTTGGACCCTTTTGACCTCAATGTGGACAAAGTTGATAACGGGGCCCAAAAATCAAAAATCTAAATACATGGTTAGATTCAGCATATCAAAGAACCCCATATATTCAATTTTTGTTGAAATCAAACAAAGTTTAATTTTGGACCCCGATTTGGACCAACTTGAAAACTGGGCCCATAATCAAAAATCTTAATACATGTTTAGATTCAGCATATCAAAGAACCCTAAGAATTCAATTTTTGTTAAAATCAAACTAAGTTTAATTTTGGACCCTTTGGACCTTAATGTAGACCAATTTGAAAACGGAACCAAAATTTAAGAATCTAAATACACAGTTAGATTCGGCATATCAAAGAACCCAATAATTCAATTTTTGATGAAATCAAACAAAGTTTAATTTTGGACCCTTTGGACCTCAATGTGGACTAATTTAAAAACGGGGCCCAAAATCCAAAAACTAAATACACGGTTATATTCAGCATATTAAAGAATCCCATGAAATCAAGAATAAAACCCCATTGAAATTGGTCAAGAAATAAGCAATTTATAGGAAGTATCTTCTTTTGCACAATCCTGTGCTATTAAATATTTCTTGCTATTGCGCAATACTGTACAATTGACAATTTCTTGCTATTGCGCAATATTGTGCTATTGGATATTTCTTGCTATTGCGCAATACTGTGCAATTGAAGATTTCTTGCTATTGCGCAATACTGTGCAATTGAAGATTTCTTGCTATTGTGCAATACTGTGCAATTGAAAATTTCTTGCTATTGCACAATACTTATTATATAATAATTTACACATCCTGTTTGGTGTGTATCTCCTACCATATCATTATTATTTGATTTTAAATATAAATCAGAAATAACCAACTTAAAATGGAAAATTTTAAAAGAAACAAAAAAGGAAAAAAAGAAAAAAAAGGAAAAAAAAATAAATCCCCCCCCAAAATTTTTTGAACCCCCATTATGATTCATCACCCCCAAACTCAATCCCAGCCTTCCCTTTGTGGTATGGTACCTTGCAGTACAATTTCAGAGAGATCCATACACTTGAACACAAGTTATTGTCTGGAAAATAGAAAAAAATGTGTTTTTTGGCCCCTTTTTGGCCCCAAATTCCTAAACGTTTAGGGCAATTACCCCCAAACTCAAACCCAGCTTTCCCTTTGTGATATGGAACCTTGTAGTACAATTTCAGAAAGATCCATACACTTACACACAAGTTATTGTCATGAAACTAGAAAAATGCTTGTTTTTTGCCCCTTTTTTGGCCCCTAATTCCTAAAATTTGGAGGCATTTACCCCCAAAATCAATCCCAGCATTCCTTTAGTGATATGGAACCTTGTGGTACAATGTCAGAGAGATCCATACACTAACACACAAGTTATGTCTGGAAGTTACAAAAATGCTTATTTTTGGCCCCTTTTTGGCCCCTAATTCCTTTACTGTTATTACCATAACCCCCAAAATCAATCCCAACCTTCCTTTTGTGGTATTGAACCTTGTGGTAAAATTTCATAAAGATCCATTCACTTAAACTAAAGTTAGAGTGCGAAAACCAATGTGTCTTCGGACGACGCTGGACGACGCCGGACAACGACGACGCCAACGTCATACCAATATACGACCACAAAAATTTTTTTGCGGTCGTATAAAAACTGTGCCTTTACAGTGTGAATTATAAAACCAATTTCGAGTTCCTTTTAATGAATTGATTGGTTGACCAGAGTTCAATTAACATAAATGGTGTTATAAAACAAACTTCTCTGATTGTGATGCAATAACACAATCATTATGACATTGGAAATGTATAGCAAAATGTATGAAAGTGAAAGTTGTCTATATGTAATACCTCCTTCTCCTCTAAAGCTGTTCTCAGTTCCTCTTCCTTTTCTTTCCTCTCCTGTAATTCCTTTGCACTTTCCTCTAACAATCTTTCTTGCTCTTCAGCTTTTTCTAACAGATTTTCACCACCAACAATCAACTTTTTCTCTATTGCTGCAAGTTTCTGATGAAGTTGTTCTTGTTCTTCTCTGAATAAGGAATGGTAAATTATAATAATATTTCAGAATTAGTTGATATGAATATACTTCATGCTACAACTTGTCAAATTTATTCAGTTGGCTGTTTTTATTTTGTGATTTTCCTAATACATGTATTTATTTTGTGATTTTCATAATACATGAATTTATTTCGTGATTTTCCTAATATATGTATTTTTTTTGAGGTATTTCTAAGGGCTATTCCAGAAAAAAATATATGGGGGGTTGGAAGGCACTTTAATTATTTTTGTATGGGTGGGGACAGGTCATGAGGTTCAAATTGTGCGGTTATATATGCAAAGTAAATAAAGAGCAATTGTATGTGTAATGGCCATCAAAAAAGTGTCTTCCAACCACCCCATATTGTTTTTTTTTCTGGAATAGCCCTACTACATGTATTTATTTCGAGATTTATTTTGGGATTTTTCTAATACATATCATTTTGGGATTTTTCTTACAATGTATCTGCTAATCAGTGATTACTTTGGCAGGTGGATAAAATACTGGAAACATTTCAACAAATAGACTACTCCATCAAAAAGTTTTGTTTTATGTTTTTCATTATCAATATATTAAAATAAGTATATGCTTTACTGGAGATCACTGGAGATCTAAAATAAGTACATTAAGATTAAAGATATATTGGTTAGTTAAAAGAAAAATGCCCCAAACTCTTTAAGGAGAGAACATTCACAACTTTACCAAACAGATAATGAAAACTTACTGGTATTTTTTAAGTTCTGACTCCCTAGATTCTAGTTCATTCTTAACTTTATTTCTCTCTTCCTCAGCCATGTCTTTCTTCTGTTCCAGTAACTTTCTATCCTTTTCAATAATGGCCTGTATTTCTGACATCTTTTCTTTTGATATATGGTTTCCTTTACTACCACCTGTAAATAAATTACAAATTTATGAATAAGATGAGATGTTTGGTACATCACCGAAACAGTAATGAATAACTAAAATAATATAGATTTTTATTTAATTAATAGGTTCTAAAAATACATCAGTTTAGCACATAATTTCATTTATTTTAAGGATTTAATTTTGTTAATAAATTAAAGTAATATAAAATTATGTGAATATTTTTTTTTATTTGATAAATATGTGCAAAGACTATTTTGTCTTTTAAATAATATATATTTCTCTGAGATTTTATATGGCATAAATTCAATGTTTCTTCCATATTTTTTTCTTACAAAACAGTTAAGCTTTGATACATATTGCAGAGTAGAAATTATTGAGCTCATGCAAAAAGCAAGAACATATTAATAATTGAAATGGTATTCATATATAGATAACAATGTGGTAATTTATTAAGTAACTTTTAGCAACAAGCAATGGGCTTAAAATAAATTTTCCTGTTCAAAAACCATTTTAAAATCAAATGGAATCAATGTATTTTCCAAAAACACTAAAAAGGGTTTATTTTTTTTTATCCCATAACTCAATGAGGTCATGGCTCCTTAATGCTTATTATCACTGTATCTAAACATTAATTTAAACATAAACAGAAATTTTATATCAAAACTTAAAATTTCAATGTACAAATAGACCAAATATGATCATAATTGCAGCATGTTCTTTTAAATATCTAAAAAATAATTATCATATGATGAAGCAAATGAGGAGCAACAAGAATTTTTTTTATTCATTTGGAGTTAAAGTTTTTGAACAATTTTAAAAGAAGGGTTTGAATCTTGTTTCAAACAATGCTCACTAAAGTTTCATATCTGAAGATAAGGGTTTCATGAAAATGTGCTTCAACAATGTTCCCAAATATTAATAGTAAGTAAAATATACATTTTTCAGGAATTAAATTATTTTGGTAAACTTTAATCTCTCCTACATTTCATATGTTTTGTCTAAATCAAAAAGCTTTGGAGAAGAAAGTCCATTAACAGATATTCTGTTGAATCATCTGTAATCAAAACTCAGTTTCAATGTTCTTATACCTTCCTTTTTTTTCCTTCTTTGTTTCTTCCTACGTCTTACAACTCCATCGTCACCTACAACTTCCTCCTCAGACTCAGACTCTGATCCACCCTCATAATCTGATCCTAAAAATGAAAAAGATAAGTGTTTTGTCCATTTGACAATCTTCATACAATTTAGGCAATTTTTGACAAAATTTAGGCTCTATTTGGCTTTTCAGATGTTATACATTTTTTTTAATTGTGTGATGGATAATTTTAACTTGAAAATGTTTTGCAAAAATAGCTTGCATCTTTCTAACTAACAATATAGCATCTTAAAGGTAATCAAAAGTCAGAATCAAATGCTTATCAGCACTGAAGGGTAAAGATTGCTTTCATTTTGCCATGTGAACTTAAAATAAAACATTGAATTGTATTAAGCAATGGAAGACATTTAAGCAAATTATATATTTTGAATTGGGAGTTATCTTCCTTTGTTTATAATGGTACATTTGTATTTTAATGTATATTTATAGCAGATAGATTCATACGCCATGCACATCTTATGTAACTTTGAGTTTAACATATCATTAATTATTTACATGACACTGACTGGATATAGGATCTAAAGAATGTTCACCTCACTGCACTATGCACTATGTTTTTTTTTACCTGTCAAGGGAAGTGATACTACATGGAAGATTCAGATAATAAGCCAGTAGTGTAAGGGTTTCGATTGCATTGACCCCAAAAATGGAGATTAAACAGTATCTGCCAAACATTAGCCAGGACCCAAATAAAAACCCTTAATAAAAGAACATGGTTGACAGGTTTGTTTGTTACATAAACTAAAAAATATAGGAAAAGTGGTTGAATTTTAACAAGTTTAATGTTGACCATTAGTTACCTATCAAATTAAAATATGATATACATTTCTGGACAATAATAATAAAGCAGACTGAAGCAATTTTAGGCTAAACTATGGATACAGACACAGATCAAATAACAAAAATGTTACCTTCTTCAAGCTGTTTTCTAAGTTCTTCAATTTCTTTCTGAAATTGTCTAAGTAAAGCATCTTTAGGATCTTCATTAATTTTAGCTTTGTTCTTGATATTCTTGGCACGATTGGCATATCGTAAAGAACTGATAGATTCGTCAAAATTATAATCTGCTGGACCTATGTTGGCTATCTGAAAAAAAATCATTTTTACATGTATATAATCATTTTTATTAATCAATGTTATTTTTATTCTGAGAGAGTGAGTTTTCAATTTGGCATTGTTTTTTATATGACTTTATCCTTGCATGAGAAATTTTGGTGACAACATTCCTAAAAATAGTAAACTGTTATCACAGAGATATGTCTCACCTTTTTGTAATTTTGATAATATTTATGCAAATGTTGAAATTAAAATAGCAATACTTTAACATGTAAGTTATGCAAATATTCAAAGTCGATGAACCATGACTGAAGGTACATGGCTAAACAATCTCCATGGAAATGCTAATACAACTGCATACCAAATACCATTGACTTATTATAAGTTGTTCCCTTTAAACAAACCTAAACATAAACATTAACTTGTAAACAAGTTAAAAGTTTCAAAGTCAATGAACCATGATGAGGGGTGGGGCTATATAATCGCCATGGAAACGATACTTGCAAATGCCAATTAATTTGCATACCAAATATCATTGACTTAACATTAGCAGTTCATCTTAAACTGATCTAATCAAAAACTAATACATGTAAACTAAGCAAAAGTTTCAAAGTCAATAGACCATGACTAGGAGCGGGGCCAAATAATCTCCATGGAAATGAAATGTGCTATTGCTTATACAACTGAATACCAATTAACATTGGCCTACCATTAATGCTTCCCCTTGAACTGACCTAATCATAAACTAATACATGAAAACTAAACAAAATTTTCAAAGTCAATAGACCATGACTAAGGGGGTGAGGCCAAATAATTTCCATGGAAATGAGATATGCAAATGCTAATACAACTGCATACCAATTTTCATATACCTACCACTAGTGGTTCCCCATAAACTGACCTAATCACAAACTAATACATGTAAACTAAACAAAAGTTTCAAAGTCAATAGACCATGACTGAAGGGGCAGGGCAAAATAATCTCCATGGAAATGAAATGAGCAAAGGCTTATACAACTGCATACCAAATATCATTGACCTACCACTTGTGGTTCACCATAAACTAGACCTAATCATAAACTAATACATTGTTGACGCTGCCGCAACTCTGGAAACAGCATACCTATGTCTCGCTTTTTGACTCTGTCAAGGCGAGACAAAAATATGATAAATAAAAATAGAAATATGATATGATGTTCAAGCACAAAACATATATTTTTGGATTATATAAGTAAAGTCAAACCTCTATAATCATATATATAATTCTGCCAAATACATATAAATCTTGTAAAATCATGAAATGGGAAAGACAGCTTTTGTAAATATGAAAATGGGAGATAGGATTGATCAATATTGGAAAGAAATGTTATTACAGCATATCGGTAAATTAATTAATGAAAGAAATGGACTATAAAGATCACTACATTGGTATATATTTTATTTCTACATTTTTGAAGTACTTATACAATAAAAAGCATGGATATAAATAATATAAAGATAATGGGAATCACCAAAAATATTGGACAGTTAACATCAGACCCAACTGTTCTGTCAAATAACAGGCGTACAAACAAAGACAAACAACAAATAACAACACATGGTCCAGATAACCTGACACCTTGTTTTCTGCTCTTTGGTTGTTCTCTCTTTGACAAATTCCCCATTTCAATTCTCAATTTTATGACTTGATACATGCACAAATTGTGGTTTGGTAAAATCACTTTTACGTACACACATACCTTATCAGTTACGCATCTAGACCATATGGCATAAAACTTAAACACACAATAAAACTGGCACAGAGCAGCTACCAACAGGGTGATTTTTACATTTATTCAAGCAAACAAATTATTGAAATTACCAGAAATTAACATGTAAAGGCAAAAAGACTTCCAATATCAAGACTATCTTATTGTAATTGTAAAGATATAGCACACAAAGTTGGTGTGAAGGAGAGAGCTGAAATTTCTTGTCCCAAATTGTCTTGTGAGTTTCAAAGAACATGAAGAAATGAAGAAATGTTCTAATTTTTATCATTAAATATCAATAGGAAATGCTATACATAAGAACTTGTGTCTATAAGTAATTGACAAGTCTTTTCTGTTTACCTAAATATGACTGACATAACTTTAAAAAGTCATTAGCCTACCTTCAGATAATTCTATTTGCAGAAATGTTTATATGTACTTTAATTACTCCAATTTCCTAATTTACAAAATAATTGTTAAAAATCATGATCATACCATAGCAGTTTTAGAGTTTCCTCCTAATGAATCCTGCAGCAGTCTGGTCAATTTAGAATTTCTGTATGGTATATGTGTACTTTTACCATCTACCAATGAGGATATTACATTACCAAGGGTTGACAAAGATAGATTGATTTTTGTGGCCTCTTTTAACCTTTGACCTGTAGCACCAGTTTTAGCTTGTCTTTCTGAACCCTGAAATGGAAAATATACTTAATGTTTCTGTCTGAAGCTCTTTTCACAATAAAACCTATATATTAAATTTATTACAAATTAGTTGCATTGTGGAAAAAGGCTACTGGCTTTTATTGCAATATTGTTTAAAAATGATTAAATTCTAGATTCACTTTACTATAGCTGAAGATTAAAGCATAACTTAATATACTCTAGATCTGTAGAGACTGATATTCTATAATGATCTTTAAATATTCTCCAGTCAAGCATTATAGTATGAAACAGGGCTTCCAAAATTTCCTGACGACAGCCGGACATTTTTCAAAGAAATATTTTTGACGGTCAATGATCAGCTGGATACTTAAATGTAACTGAGAGGATGCATAAATTGATATATGTGTCTAAATAATTAGTAGTGTTATATGCAATAAAATTATTTATAACTGTTTTGTTTTCTTCATTCTAAAAATAAATAAAATATTATCCTCGGTATTGTGTCATTTTTCTGTGTATCGTAATACAGTAACCATCATTGCATCAATCAGCTTCAGTACCTGACTGTTCTCATGTTTTTGTTTCTGTTTATATAATCTATCTTCTCTCTGTGAGTACTTAACACTTTGTAAATTAAGGCCATCTTATTTGAAACTGTTGATGTTGGCTTTAATTGCAGTACAACTTGATCATCAATACACGTGATACTTTTCTTTTTGTGTATTGATTACCTGACCACGTGACTTTTACAACTGATGCGGTATTTATAGATAACATTGAGGAGGCCCGATGAAGGATATTGTTTTAAACCGTGAAAAATCTACTGAACAGTGATAACATTTTTCTTTGTACAATTTCCCAACCTGATTTAGAAAATAAGGAATGAATAAAAACATACTCTGTTGATAAATAATTTAATGAATAACAACATGATATTTTATGTAAGCATATAACAACAATAAAATGTCAGAAGAGCACAATGCTGACAAACACACGCAATAAATATTACAATGAGCACATTGAAAAGAAGCACAGATCACAGCACAAGATTAGAGTTCATTTAGTCTAATTAAAGATTTTACATTCATGAGCTTGCTAAATGCATTGTTCTGATAAACATGGCGGTTACGAACGGATTGCCATTTGCGGATAGCAGGAACAGGGTCAAAGTCTTTAACATCTACACCTACTAAGCTTATCCTCATAAGTTGATCTAAAGCGTCAATACCTAGACTACACCTTAGTCGATCATAATTCCCACGGCGGGACTTAACTTTACGTCGGACATCACCTCTTTCTCTATAACATCGGAAATTGTCTGAATAAATTCGGAGCAGGCATTGTTCTCTTGATATAATTTAGAAGTGATCACGGCACCATTTAACTTAGTTAAATCATTTATTGACTGAAATTTGTCCATTGGTTTTTCCTATATATTTTAGTAAATTTTCCCCTTGAGAGTACCCCAGTATTTAACACGATGTACAGTGTTAAATAAAATAATATATATCATACTTATTCATTTATAAATATCCTTATTTGAAGAATAACTTTTAAATATCAGGATACTTTTAAAACTGAATGCTCATTTAAAATAATATCTATAAAGCGTAATTAAATAGGATGTTGTTCCATACACGCTTACATGTTTGACCTCGTTTACCGGATTACCTTTATGTACATTGTTATGCATCATTAATTCTATTGATAAAGATAAGCTAAGGACACCTCATCAAAGGTAACAAACCTGTAATCAGTGAATGATTTATGGCTTCAATATAACTTATTGAAGGGATAATTGTTTGACAGCTTGTTGTTATTTAAATAAAAGAAAACGTGTTTTTTCTACTTTTTATTGATGTACACAAGCTAAAGACCAAGCCGTACATTTATGTACCCAGAGGATTAGACTAACTGAGACACTTCAAAGTATCTGAAATATGCTGCTTCTGTTTTATTAAACCCAATTATGACCGAAATATCTTTGTGAAATAGATTGCCACAATTATAAACTAAAATGCCCAAACGGACATGCCCAAAGCCCCAAACGGACATTTTTATCGATCGATAGTTGGTAAAAATTCAAATGACCGTTTCATGAAAATGCCTTGAATAACAAATTGTGGCACACCAATTCTATTTGACCGTTTGAGGCTGAGAGCAGCCGGTCTTTTTATGAAAGTTTCGGTCAAGTCCGGAATATATGACCGTTTTGGAAGCCCTGGTATGAAATAGTAATGAGGTTTTGTAAGATTATCTTTAATGTTTTAAAAGTCACTGACATTGTGTGGTTAACAATTATCCTTTTACCAATTCTTCTGATGTCTTAACAGTATATATGTATATCAGGGTAAGTTGTGTATGAACAAGGTTTGTCAGAGAAGTCATACTTACTAGTAATAAGATTCCTATATCATGTGATCTGGGGCATAGTATAATATGATTGAAACTTCAAAGTCTTGAATCATGTGACTTACTATTGTTGATTGCTTTCAGCAAATTAAAACTCTATATTGTATGTGAATGGTGTATTCTATTTAGGAAATTGTCACTAACTTACAGCCAAATCAACTAAGTGAAGTTTGCCAGCTCTGACATGATGTTTGCCATCAGGACCTTTCTCACTGCATTCCACAGTAACAGAAAATATAGCATGGGATCTAGAACTGTGAAGATTCATATTGGTAGCTCCAACTGAACCTAGAAATAGTCATTTATATAATATGTATAAATAAAGACAACCGTATATCTAAATGCACATTAGAGAAATCATTAATGAACAGACCTTCAATGCATTATATAATTTGGCATAATTTGAAAAAGTTCACATCATAATGATCATGAGCATTAATTACAAGAAGATGTGACCAAACTTCAACCTGACTATCTTAAACCAACATTTGAAGTTGATTAAGGATAGACAGACTAACCAATCTAATTAAAATTAGTTCTCTCTCAAATGAGGAGCAAGTGCAGGGAACTCATTTTAATTAGATTGCAGACTAACCAACCTAGAAACCAGAACATTATGCCCCTACTATTGAAGGATAGGTGTAAAAATTGTGTATATAAAATAGAATAAGCAATTGAAATTATATTGGGTTTAAACTTAAGCTTTAAAAATAATTATCTCTATTTTCACAGAAAAAAATACAGTGTGTGAAAGTAAAAAATCAGGCGGCATTCAAAATTGTTCACTTTATTCTCTCCATTACAATGACAATGGTAAATCTAACATAAATTCTTACGATTTTTATTTCCCAATGTCATTATTCTGTCCATGTCATCTGCATTATTTACAGCAAATGCAGATAAATCTTTGACATAAACACCTACATCTGGTCTCTCTTTTACCTGTAAATAATAAAAATGTTAAAAAGTACAAACTAAATACTGTATTTGTGAGGCTGTCTAACCTCAACTATAGGGAGACAATACTGATATCAAAAAATAAATGGTTTATCAAATGCATAAACAAGTATCACGGTTTAATCAATACAAGATTTTATTCTTGTTTGTAATCAAATAATTTATTATGCATGAGTTTTTAAAGTGAACATTAGTGTGAGCCAATGCTTCGTGTTGAAGGCCGTACCTTGACCTATAATGGTTTACTTTTATAAATTGTTACTTTGATGGAGAGTTGTCTCATTGGCACTCATACCACATCTTACTATATCTATGTTTTTACTGTTTTATTATCATAAGATTTAAATTGGTCAAGGTTTGTGACCTATGATAATTATTACATTTCATTATGCTGGGTATATCATCTAGCATAATTCCTTTATATTTGTCTATAAATTAATTTTACTAGATATCTTTTATACTCACTTCCAATCTCTGATTTTGGTCTTTATGTAGCAGATCTCTGACCTCTTCATTGTAGATTTCCAAATATGACACCCTTACTAAAAATCTGAAATAAAGTTTTCGTAAACATATTTCAATGGGTTTATCAAGAAAATATCTGAACTTTTTGATAAATACTTTGAGAACCAGGTGTAAAATAATACTGACAGTTTTAACTGTATAATCTAATGTATAATTTGTAAATGGTTTTATCCACTTTCACTCGACTACTTTGTGATGTTAATGATAGTATCAGCATCTTCATGTCTTTAACACACCTGACAAAATTTAGTGTATTCTGTTATAATTTTCAGCCATCAAATTTCATCCACAATGACACCTTACATATTAACTTAGGTTGTTACATAGGTCTTTATTTGAAAATTACGAGTTATTCAGTTTCATGTTCTCCTTGCCACACATGTGAGTAAGACCTTGACAAGTTGTATAGACACCAGCGTATTGTTGAAGACTGTTAACTACAAATCAGCTGTTGTTCGTTTATTTCTTTTGGTTATTGGGTTGCTGTTTCTTTGAAATATACCTAACATCTTCTTTCAGTCATTCATATTGGTCAATACTTTTTAAAAGTAAATCAAACATTTGTTATTGCAGACACACTTTTCCTTGATTTTCCAATCCCTTCCATTCTTTTACACATAATTCAATTCATTGATTTTGACTTGAAAAAATTAGATCTGGCATGTATTTTTAAACGGTTTAAATTTTCAACAATTCTAAGCCCAAATCAAATTATCATATAAAAATTACAGGATGGAGTACATTCGATAAACAACAAATTAGCTAATTCTAAAATATACAAAAATGCTTTGCTTATTGTTTGACTTACCTTGTGTCTCCCTCTGCTTTTGCAATTTTACCAAATATATGAGCAAAAGAATTAGGTATTATTCCTCTTAATTCTGGTACTGCTCTAACACCTTCCATAGTGAAAGTCTTCCCGGTACCAGTCTGACCATAGGCAAATATAGTTCCTAAAATAAATCACCAGTAACTATACATTTATTGCGTTAAATTAGCATAAGTTAAGCTTTCACATTTGGTGAATTCAAATAGCTTTAGTTAAGCTTTGGTTTCTGTATAAAAGTATATAAAAAAATGAAACAGCAGCCCTGAAAAAAAGTTTACTAGTCTTTCTTTATTACTTATATTAAGAACCTGCTGATTAGGACCTATAGGTGTGTAATGCAGAATATCTAATAAAATAGATAAAAATAAATGGGGAATGTGTCCATGGGACACAGATGATGCCCCCGCTTGCATATAACGTTATAAAGGGATATAACTCAAGAACTGTAAAAGTGACGCTCCCCAAATTTGTACTTGATCTGATTTTTGTGGTAATAAGCATTGTGCATAAGTTTCATAACATTTGGTTGAGGCAAACTAAAGTTAGAAAACAGAAACAAATATTTCAGGAATTTTTCTATTTTTAAAGGGCATAACTCTAGAAAGGTAAAAGTGACGCCACCAAAATTCAAAATGATCTGTGTTTTGAGGTAATAAGCATTGTGTACAAGTTTCATAACATTTGGTTGAGGCAAACTAAAGTTAGAGAACGGAAACGAAATATTCAGCAATTTTTCCATTTGTAAAGGGGCATAACTCTAGAATGGTAAAAGTGATGTCACCAAAATTGACCTTGATCTGTGTTTTGTGGTAATAAGCATTGTGTATAAGTTTCATAACATTTGGTTGAAGCAAAATAAAGTGAGAGAACGGAAACAAAAAATACAGCAATTTTTTTTCATTTGTAAAGCGGCATAACTCTAGAACGGTAAAAGTGATGCCACCAAAATTCAAACTTGACCTGTGTTGTGTGGTAATAAGCATTGTGTATAAGTTTCATAACATTTAGTTGAGGCAAAATAAAGTGAGAGAACGGAAATGAAAAATTCAGCAATTTTTCCATGCTGAATTTTTCCATTTGTAAAGCGGCATAACTCTAGAACGGTAAAAGTGCCACCACCAAAATTCAAACTGGATCTGTGTTTTGTGGTAATAAGCATTGTGTATAAGTTTCATAACATTTGGTTGAAGCAAAATAAAGTTAGAGAATGGAAACCAATTTTGGGATGTAGGTACGTACGTACAGACAGACAAAGGTAAAACTTAGTGCCCCCCTCCGCTACGGCGGGGGCATAAAAATAAAAGAAGAATGTGTCTGAGGATACAAATGGCCTTGCTCAAGCTTTGCAATTTTCAAAAAAAGGTTAAAAAGAGGCATAACTCTAGAACAGTAAATGACTCACAACCCAAATTTGAACTCTGTCTACGTGTTGTGGTTCTTAGCATTGTGTTAGAGTTTCATAAAATTTGGATGTGAAAAACTCGTTAGAGTGCAGAAACTAAAAATTTGCAATTTTCCAAGTTATAAAGGGGCATTACTCTAGAATGGTAAGTTACTCACTGCCCAAATTCGAACTCTGATTGCTAGTTTTCGTTCTTAGCATTGTGTATGAGTTTCATAAAATTTGGATTTGAAAAACTTAAGTTAAGAGTGTGGAAACGAAAAAAATTTCAATTTTCCAAGTTATAAAGAGCATAACTCTAGAACCATAAGTATCTCACTGCCCAAATTTCGAACTCTGTCTGCAAGTTTTTGTTCTTAGCCTTGAGTATTATTTTCATAAAATTGAGATGAGAAAAACTTAAGTTAGAGTGAAAAATGAAAAAAAATTGCAATTTTCCAAGTTATAAAGGGGCATACCTCTAGAATGGTAAGTGACTCGCTGTCCAAATTTGAACTCTAACTCTGACTCTGTCTGCAAGTTTTGGTTCTTGAGTTTCATAAGATTTGCATGATGCAAACTTAAATTAGAGTGCGGAAACAAAAATGAGACGGATGGAAAGACAGAAAGATGAACGTAAGGATGGTCAAGGGTAACACTTAATGCATAAAAATTACAGAAGCATCATGGATGCATAAGTGGATTTGTCAAATTACTGGATTTGTAGAAGACTAAACTGCTTTTTGTGTATAGAGTACAATGAAGTGTGTAAAGTTGGCTGACAATAAATGTAAAATGATGGGGAACAAAAAATTTGCCTAAATTTCAAGTCTATTTATTGCTGCTGTAACACTGACCTTTAACCTAAAGATCTAAAAATCAATAGGGGTCTTTTTCAGACCAAGGCACATTATCCACCAAAAAAGTATAGGTAAAAATCAAATGTATGGCTCAAAAGATACATGTATACATGTATTGTCCTGTAACAAAACTTTTACCTACATGTATACATGTATTACAGGGTATCTATAGAAAACAATTACACTGATCTTTGACCTACTGACCCATTAATCAATAGGGGTTTTGATCTTTCAAAGGAGAATTTTCCAACTAAGTTTTGGTCTAAGTTTGGTTAAAGCTACATCTCCTTATTTTTATAAACTATGCAAATGTTTCAGTCAATGACAGGGTGGAGTCAACAAATCTCCATGGAAATGAGATAACGCTACTACAATTGTATATCAAATATCATTGACTTTTCATTAGTGGTTCCCTTTAAGTGACCTATCAAAAACTTTTGTTGACCCAGCCTTAGTCTTGCATCCGCAAATTTGTCAAGGGGAGACAAAAACTAATACACCAACTCTACATACCATACTTTTCATTATAATTACAACTAAAATATTTTACCATTGTATCCCTCCAATACAAAGTCTACAATAGGTCTGGCTGCTTGATTATACAAGTCCACTTGTTTTGAATTTGGACCAAACACCATATCAAATGTGAATTTTTTGGGAGGCTCTCCATGGTGGCTGTTAGGAATGTTCACTTCAATGGATCCTCTCACTTCATCAACCTTAATAGAAATGTAGTTAGATATTATGCATATTGGTATTATTAACTTTCCAAATATTCTTACTTTCACATTATAAAATCTTTCATGCATTGGATTTCTCAAAACATAATTTGCACCAAACTATATCTAATAAAAATTTTAAACTTAATATGGCTGTTATATATTGGCAAGTGTTTTGAATAAAGGAGATCAGGTCTGAATATTGATACTAGTAAATAATTTTATAACGAATGCATATAATGTAATTTTATTATCTAATTATGCATTCATAATTTATATGGTTGAAGGCTCTGATTCTTGACCAATGCTAATATATTAAATATACATGTACACTGTGATGTTTATTGTTGTAATTATCAATTATGTCAATCAATTGTAACTGGTTTTTATGCCCTTTATGGGCCCTGTAATTTGGGAACTAAAAATATTCTATTCTATTCTAAATCTTTAGTTAATTTCTGACAGAAATCATTTTTTAATTAATCTCAGCATCTGTTATGAATAGGCTATAGATAAAACTGTCCTTAATTTAGATAGCTGCTTTTTAATTTTTTAACATGTCTAAGTGATAGAAGTGTTTTAAACATGTTAAATAAACTTCTATGTGTAGTAGTCATGTACATTGTACATGTTTATGAGTTTATCATGACTAAGAATTATTAAATTTTTTTAGATTTCAATCACTACATGTACACAATAAACATTGAAAGGGCCACACATACTGTCACATAGTAAATAGAGATAAGAATAAACAAACACTTAATACAACAATGTACAAGTACTCCAAATACCATACCTTCACACACATTACACATCCCTGTTTAACTTCAGTGTCATTTAAAGGTCGACACCTTACACATACTCTAACACAATCATCTTGCTTCTCCTAAAAAGTAAAATTAATCAAATAATACATTTTAGTACAGACTAGGGACCACTAGTAGATATGGTCTTCACTCCTATAACTATACAGATCCAAAACTCAAGCGTGATTTACAAAGCTGATATCAATATGGCATGAGTTACAAACTTTAAAGGATCTAGTTAGAATGGTTATATCAGTATCTAGAAATATTGTATAAATGACTTTCTTAAGTCTTTCTTCTTTTAACTGTTCTTTTTTTGAAAATTACCACTGTACTAACCATACAGCTTTGGCTCAGTTGATACATGTGGAGGAGTGTCTTACTGTGTCAAGAGTCATTAATTCTTTCCCTGGTTGTTTGTGGTAATTTAAAAAAAAAAAGAATAATGCTGTTGTGTAACATTTACTGCTCCTATATAGTAACCCAGCAGACAGAATGTGTTAAATATAATTATGGCTCTTTGTCCATTATTCCCGTAAAGTTTTGACATGGCAACAGAAAAGGTCTGACACAATAAAGGAAAAGTGATTGTCAATGGTTGTATGAAATCAAATACAGTTCTTGAAAGTGTTCCAAATTCTCAGGTCAATTGTTACAGATTCCTAAATAGCAATAAGTATACACCTCAACACTATTTGTCTGCCATTACTGATCATCACAGACGTTCCAAAAATAATGATGTCATAACTAAGAGAAAATGTCTGATGCAAAATGCAAAAGAGATTATTAAATGATGTCAATAGTTTAAGTGTCACAAAACCTAGGGTCAAGTGTCTGTACAACGATTTCCGGAGAACTCCCAAAAACTCAATATGAAGCAGAGAACCTATAGATATTAATTTAGTATTACCCAAAAACTTTACTGTATATGGAGCAATACTGCTTTAATAAATAACAAAGTCTATAGACTCTGGCAGACGTCATTATTCAAACTTGATCGCGGACTGCGTAAGGTATGCCTGTGCCTTGTGCATTGTCCAAAGTACAAAATGTACCTTTGTAGTTTCAAATTTTCCTAATTAAAATAAATATCTTTATTGTTTAAAATTTATAACACACATGTATAGATTATAATTATCTACCTTTTGAAAATTTTGTCAGCCATAAAGCTTTACAAGGAACTTGCATACAAGACTCACACTTCGAATTCCTGAAGTTAAATTGTTCTTTTGTTGACATGTAAGTAAAAATGACAAACATCTCAAATTTATTTATCATGTTTATAGTCAAAAGTTCCCGTAAAACTTTGACTTCACAATAGAAAATGTCTGACGCCACAAAGGAAAAGTGATTTTTGTATGACGTCAATAGTTCAAGTGTAGCAGATTCCCAAATAGCGATAAGGTCTATAATGGGGCATCTAAAATTGTAAGACGCGTCTACAACTCATCTTAATACATGAAACTGCTGTTTAGGTACATGAAGGTGTATATATTTTACAGAGACAATAAGTGCCTATGATCTGACACAATACATGAAGTTTTCCAATTTTGAAATGCATCTTGTTTCATCTGTTTATCCCAGGAAATACTATAGTCTATAAGTATTAGTTTCATCCCTAGAAAATATAACGATACTGAAAAAAAACACAGCTAAATGAGCATGATGAGCTAATTACAGTTATTACCGGCATTTTTCTCTTGTGATTTGTCCTACATATATTTCCTAAATTAAAGACAAAAAGAACAGTTATTTTAGCTGTCAGTTGTCAGTAAAAAATGTTGATTACATTCGATGTGAATGTTATTCTTCTTTCTGATTGGTTGAAATTACAAGATAATCAGGGTTTCTCTGGAATTATCCAATACCGATATGAACATATCGAGGACACCGAAGAGCTAATTATACTGGTTTTCTATTCCTTGGAATTATTTTGGTTACACTGACTGTGGCGGAAACAGATAAACAAGATGTCAGCGCCCATGTCTCATAACGGGACCATTGCATAGTTATCTTATTCTGCTAATTTAAGTTCAAATTTATGGAAAGGTACGAATTTTGTAGACCAAGTTATTTTCAATTCATCATGTTTTGTCCAAATACAATCAGTTGGAATATGTTTCTATACCAGTACCCAACCTGACCTTAGCGGGCTTAGGCACTTGTCTTTGAACATTTTTACCGTTAGATAACTGTAATAATCCAGTCGTAAAAATCCGACCCACTATCGATCTCTACAGCGAGAGGACACTGACCGATAGAGGGCACATAATAACATACATGTCAGTGTTCTCCTTGGCTTGAGAAGTGCTTATCATCAGTCAGGGGTCCTACTTGTACAAGTAATTTTTATTTACTTGAAGAAGTAAATATTAATATACTTATATAAGTAAATTTGTAGGATACTTATACAAGTGTATTTTATTTACTTGTATAGGTAAAAAAAAATTGGGCTTAATTATGTCCCTAAGACATTCAGATTTTTGATTCAGCCATGCTGGATCTATGCGATCACTCTGGTTTTGGAGATGATGCAGAATACTAAGTTGAAGACATATTATGAAACTAATTATGTGTTTTTATGACTTGCAGAAACTTTCTACTAAGTTTTAATCATCAACTGCCAACTTTTGACATGTTATTTGCCCTTAAATTAAGAAAAGATTGGTCGAACAACCCTTTTATTTTAGATATTCACTTGCAAATAGTTCCTTTGTAAATCAAAATTTATAATGATTTACTATTTATGAACTAATTTGAAAAAGTATTTGTACATCAATTGGATCAGTTGATAAGAATTTTGAAAGTATCATATTAGTATCTTGTGCATGTGTATTAATATATCTAAGTTGATTCCCACACTTTTTTGAAATGGTATTACTCCAATTCTTTCCATAGTCAAAGTTATAGTCAGTATGATTATCAACTGTCAAGATTTTCAAATAATTACAATCAAAGGTGTAAGTATTAATTGGAAAAGACCCCAGGCTTAATTGACCACAGTTAATATCTCGTGACCTGTTACATAATTGAATAGACACAATTTATTACACACCTAACTCCATACTATGGCGCGGAATCATGGTCATAAATATCGATTTAAGCTGAATATTTCAGTATATGCTAACTTGATTTTAGGGTATCCTAAAATGATTTTAGTATATACTGAATTGACTTTAGGATACCCTAAAATGATTTTAGTATATACTGAATTGACTTTAGGATACCCTAAAATGATTTTAGTATATACTGAATTGACTTTAGGATACCCTAAAATGTTTTTTGTATATACTAAAATTATTTAAGTATATGCTAAAATCAATTTAGGGTATGCTAAAATGTAATCTAGTTTATACTAAAATCATTTTAGGATATACTTAAATCGATATTTATGATCCTGATTCCGTGCCATAGAATACACACATTCTTGACCTCAGTAGTAAACCTACAAATGAATTATTTATTTTAATCTACACTACACTAAAATATTCTGTTAATTTTACTAGCTAGCTGAATGATTAATCAGATGTGTTTTTTATTCAAATAAAAGACAAACAATTAAAATGAATATGTATAAAAAGTGCAAGCAAATTTTATTTCACTTGTAAAATGAGTGTCATTATCATCTGACATAAGTCAATAATCAAGTTCTAATTAATTAGTTACAATTATCAGAAATTTTGTTGAAATAATATACAAAATTGCATAACTCTTACTTGAGCATTTCCTGCAATAAAATTTATTTGTTTGTTCTACATTTATATCCCATTATATTGCTATCTAACAGTAATTGGAAATATCTCATCATTAGGTATTCGTACATTTAAATTTGAATACAGGAAATGTATTTTTCTTCATGAAGAATGACACCAATTTAGATAAAAAATAATAATTTTTTTAATTTTTGTTGTTGAGAAAGTGCATTTCTAAGGCCTGTTTCTGGAAATTATTAAGCCAGTTATAATCAATATATTACTTATTTGACGATTTCCCTTTCCATTCTTGTCCATTCCCTACCTTTGGGCAATAACATAGTCGTTTTTCAGTCAGAAATTTTACAGTAAGATTGGAAATGAAAAGAAAAAAATATTGAAAAACGTATGGTCAGAAAGAATATCAGACTAGCTATAAATATGGCTGGATCACAACATCGACGATGCTTTGATTTTACTTATACAAGTAAAAAAGTCATCCTATCTTCTTTTCTTGAATTCTTAGGACTTCTTTGCTCTATTAGAATTTTTGATTGTCTGTCCTTTGCAGATGTCTTTACTAATCATTTAAGTGTAATTTCATGGACAATGAAAATCTCATTTGTCTGTTAGGCCAATTAAAATTAATTGATAGATTTTCATCCCCGCCCGCCCCTCTGAAATCGTTCCGCCCCAATTTTTTTTATTTTGAAAAATTTACGATTTCCGGATTTTGTTCATTTTCGTTACCGGTAACTGTCGATAATTTCGTTTCATTAATAACATCCTGTTTCAAATTTTGGTTTTTGCATTTCTTTGTATGTTTGATTCGTTATACATGTATATACATGATAGAACCTTATTATTACACTTGCATATATGAAGAACACGTCACAAGAGCGTTTCATATCTAATAAAAAATAAAAAATAAAATCCTCCCACCCACCCCATTTTTTTCAAAAATTTGGATGAAAATCTACTAATTAAATTTACTTGGCCTTATCTTCAGAACACTGCTCATTTACAAGCCCCCAAAGGGCAATTTTTGAAGACCTTGCGCAAATACTTAAGATCTTTGCGCCATCAGTTTCTTTGTTGAATTAATGAGATGAAACATTGAACTCTAATAAAAATTTATGAGCTAACCTGAGAAAAATTGTTAAAGGCATGTTTTTATATCTCAAAACTTGAGAATTTTTGTGGGATTGTAAAAAAAATTTACTTATACAAGTAAATTTTTGAGAAAATTAAGGGGAGATTATTCAAACATTATAATTAACTTATATAAGTTTATTTTATTTACTTCTTCAAGTAAATAAAGATTACTTGTACAAGTAGTACCCCTGACTGATCATTATGTCATAATTTTTCTTACCTCTAGATATCTAGTGCTTAAGGGGCTCCGATATTCTGACGCCCCACTAGTCCGACACCCCATTGGTCCGACACCCCATTGGTCCAACACCCCATTAGTCCGACGCCCCATTGGTCCGACACCCCATTAGCTTGTCTGATACCCCATTAGCTAGTCCGACAAAGGTAGATTACTGTGATAATAGAAATCTTCATAGAATCATTATTGACGTTGTATATGAACTACTCTTTCTTATAAGAAACGAAAATAGATAATACCATACTACCCATTTGGTATTTAAGAAATACCATGACCATAGTATATTTTTCAAGCATGAAGATTTCTAGTCATCTACACTGTACACGAACGTATATATATCTATAGATCGAAAACTTTCAAAACTGAAAGTTGTCCAATTGTTAATTGATTATACAATTGAAAATTATTGAGTTTTAAAGTTTGTTAGTAAAATTGTTCAATCGATGATAATTGGTTCAATATATAAAGACTTTGTTGAGGTTGAAACTTCGATAAAACGGATGAAATTTGTTGTCAGAATGAACTCTTATAGAATAGCAATGAAACATTTGCCACTGAACATTAAACAAAAAAACATATCGATCATGTACGAATAGCCATGGGAATGTACATCAACAATATGATTTGTAATTGCATATTCATAAAACAAGACACCTTTTTTTTCTGTACATTGTTATTTTTATTTGTGTTCCTTGCTGTCTTTTAAAAACACAACTAATCGGTTTTCTTTTCTTTCCGGTTTACGAATAATCGATATCGGTCAAAACTCAGACCTTATGAAGACAATTTAGACTGTTTATGTTGACAGTCTTTGATAACAACTCAGACATGTCAGACCATATGAAGACAACTTAGACTGTCTATGTTGACAGTCTTTGATAACAACTCAGACATGTCAGACCATATGAAGACAACTTAGACGGTCTATGTTGACAGTCTTTGATAACAACTCAGACATGTCAGACCATATGAAGACAACTTAGACTGTCTATGTTGGCAGTCTTTAATGACAATTCAGACCATATGAAGACAACTTAGACTGTCTATGTTGACAGTCTTTGATAACAACTCAGACATGTCAGACCATATGAAGACAACTTAGACTGTCTATGTTGACAGTCTTTAATGACAACTCAGATCTTATGAAGACAACTTAGACTGTCTATGTTGATAGTCTTGACCTTATGAAGACAACTTAGACTGTCTATGTTGACAGTCTTTGATGACAACTCAGACCTTATGAAGACAACTTAGACTGTCTTTGTTGGCAGTCTTAAATGAAAACTCAGACATGTCAGACCATATGAAGACAACTTAGACTGTCTATGGTGACAGTCTTTGATAACAACTCATACATGTCAGACCTTATGAAGACAACTTAGACTGTCTATGTTGACAGTCTTTAATGACAACTCAGCAAAGTATAAAAAAATAGTCTGGACAAATAATTAAATGACCGTCTATGAAGACAACTCGTATGTTAAAAGGCAAATACACAACATATATCTTATCATCAAGGACTTGAGTGTTTTTGGTATCTAATAAACTATTTATTTGGAGTTAAGGTAAGATCATTTTGCTGTACTGGTTTATAGTGTGTTCTTTTTGTTAATTTACTGATCTCAAGATTAAAAAAGCAGATGTTTGAGATCTCACAAACTAATTTAACCTTGCCAATAAATAAAAAATTCAACAAATAAATAAAACAAATTCATCCTTGAATTAAT